TTTGAATGTGTTTATAAGTTATTTTTTTAAATAAGAAAATGTAAGAAATTGTTATTTGGGACCAGTGTTGCTAAAGTTACAATGAAAATCCCCAAAATATTTGATAATATTTTTCTTCAAGGTTTGGGAAGGTCGATGGCGAGTAATTCCTCATGATGTCCTACCAGACTGGCTCAAGGATAATGATTACCTTTTACATGGACACCGGCCCCCTATGCCTTCTTTCCGGGCCTGTTTTAAGAGCATTTTCAGAATACACACAGAGACAGGCAACATCTGGACACATCTCTTAGGTATGTAATATCAATGGTGTAATGAATTGGTGATCTTATTCTTTGTTCACTTACTTAATGGAAAGTATGGAACTTAAAAATGTGTTTATGATTTACCATTTTGTTTTCTGGATTTCTAATGCAGTTTCTCAGTGATTTTCTCGGTGGTTTGCACTATGATTTTATTACAGTTAAGTTATATATATAAAATATTACATATGGCTCCTTTTTTCCCATTGGTCCCCCAATTGAACAGGCCAAGAGAGAGGTACTATAAAAAGTGTGGTACAATATTTTAATGAACACTGAGAGGAAGGTAGTTATTGAATAGAAGTAACCTGATTTTTCAAAGTCATTACTTAGAATATTCACAATTACATTTCAGTTTGTCTTAAAGTAGAGTGTGATGTATGATATTTTTTCTCCATCATGATTGTATATTAAAGAAGGAATAGAATGGTATTGGGGATAACTATGTAACTACATGTAAAAGGATAAAGCTGGACCCCTACTTCACACCATATATAACTCAAAATGGATTAAAGACTTAATTATAAGAACTAAAACTATAAAATTAAGAGAAAACATAGATGCAAATATTTATAACTTTGGGGGTTAGGTGACAATTTCTTAGAATTGATTTCCAAAGCATGTGCAACCAAAGAAAAAAATGGATAAATTGGACTTCATAAAAATTAAAACTTGTATGACAAAGGACATTATCAAGAAAGGGAAAAGGTAACCCACAGAATAGGAGAAAATATTTGCAAAATAAATATCTGATGATTGCTCTAGTAAAGAACTCTTACAACTAATCAATAGGAAGTCAACCCAGTTTAAGAAATGAGTAAAGCATCTGAGTAGTAATTTCTTCAACAAGTTCTAAAAATGGCCTACAAACACATGAAAAGAGGCTAAACATCATTTTGGGGAATGCAAATCAAATACTTTGAAAAATACAATACCATACTTACTAGAACATCTGTAATAAAAATGGGAAATAACAAGTCTTGGCAAGGATATAGAAAAATTAGAACTCATATACATTGCTGGTGGGAATATAAGAAGGGTGCAGCCTCTATGGAATATAGATAGCTAAACAGAGTTACCGGCAAATTCTCCTTAGGCATATACAAGAGAATTGAAAACATGTTAAAACAATGAGGACATGAATATTTTTAGCAACATTATTCATAATAGCTGAAAAGTGGAAACAACCCAAAATCTTATCAACAGATGAATGGATAAATAAAATGTGGAATATCCATACAATGAAATATTACTTGATATTGATATATACTACAACATGAGTGAGCCTTGAAAACATGCTAAGTGTGGAAGAAGCCAGACATAAAAGGCCACTTATTATGTGATTCATGAAATGTCTAGAATGGGAAAATTCAAAATCAGAAAGTTTGTTAGGGCTGTCTGGGATGGGGATTCGGGAATGATCTATGACTCTTTAAAAGGTATAGGGCTTCTTTTTGGGGTAATAATAGTGATAATTTCATAACCTTGTGAATACAGCAGTCTTGTTATCCAAGGGGGATACATTCCAAAACTCCAGTGGATGCCTGAAACTGCAGATCGGACCAAACTCTATATATATTATTTTTTTTCTACACATGCTTATCTGATAAAGTTTAATTTATGTAAAATTAGGCACAGTAAGAGATTAACAACAATAACAATAAAATATAACAATCATTGTAATGAAAATGATGTGAATGTGGTATCTGTGCTGACATCCTGACCCCTTATAACAAATCTGATAACTGAGACTGCTACTAAGGAACTAAAGGCTGGGAAATGTATACCCATACATTCTGGACAAAGGGATGATTCATGACCTGGGGCGGGATAGCTTGAGATTTCATCACACTAAGAGTGGTGTGCAATTCAAAACATGGGTTCTTTCTGGAATTTTTTATTTAATAGTTTCAGATCACTGTTCACCATGGTAACTGAACTATGGAAAGAGAACTAGATATGGGGGGAACAATTACATACTAAACTAGAGGCCCAGTGCATGACATTCATGCACTAGGGAGTGGCTCTCCTCAGCCCGGCCTGTGCCCTTTCGTAGTTTGGAGCCCCTTCTGGGGATGTCCGCTTGCCAGCTTAGGCCCAAATGATGTCGCACTTAGACATTCTTCTTGCAGTCCAGGGCTCTCATAGACTGGGACCCCTCGCTACTTACTGCTTGCTTGCTGTGGAAGTGGGAGAGGCTCCTGCCACTGTTGCTGCACTCGCCAGCTGTAAGCCTAGGTTCTAGCTGAGTTGTACTCCCCTTGTGGGAGTGCAGTGACTACCAGGGGGCAGCTTCTGTGTTGAGTGTCTGCCCCCTGGTGGTCAGTGCATGTCATAGCGACCGGTCATTCTGCTGTTTGGTTGATTTGCATATTAGCCTTTTATTATATAGGATAGTTTGTGGCCTTTGACTTGGATTTTTTTTTTTTTTTTATCACATTTTATTTCCACTGTGTCTCCATGTTCCTACCTTGTTAATAATAGTGAGAATAGAACAGAGTGTGAAATCAAGTTCATTGCTGATGTCTAACTCCAGGGTAAATGTTTTATTAAATAGCTCAAAGAGAATGACTTAGCAAATATTTGAATTCTTAATATCTGTGCCTTCCTTTTGTTAAGTGGCCCTTCCCTAAGCAGTAAGAGCATAACATCATACTGTGAAGAACAATTCAAAAATTGGTTATGAAATAGCCTGAATTGGCATTTACTGTCCTTAATTCTTGAATCTATTGGACCAGTTGGTGAGGACTAGAGAAGCATAGTATTTCTAGACAACTATTGGTAGAGGAAAGCTGTATTTCTTGATATGGTTTGGAGGTATTGGAATTTATTGCAAAGCAAATGTAAAGTGGACCTTTGAAAGCTGGATAGTAGCATAATGTGTCCAAAATGGCGTAAATGGAATTTCATAATAAACTAGAGGTAGAAGTAGACTGATGCAGTCTTATAAAGAATAACAGCATGGTGTGGTTTATTTTTTGATTATGCTCTTAGACAAATAGGTGATAATATTTTGTATACTCATTTTATGAAGCTGAGAAGTATATAATGCCAACAATGTGTGAAGTAGCCAAAATTTTGGATAGGCTTCAGTTATTTAGAAAAATTTTCTTATGGAACTTTCAATCCAGATATCATTGTTATTGTGAAGATTTGAAAACATAATTAGCATATAACTTTGTGTCTTCAAAATAATAATCTTTTCTCTCTCCTCTGCATGCTTTTCCTAGGTTGTGTATTCTTCCTGTGCCTGGGGATCTTTTATATGTTTCGCCCAAACATCTTCTTTGTGGCCCCTCTCCAAGAAAAGGTGGTCTTTGGGTTATTCTTCTTGGGGGCCATTCTCTGCCTTTCTTTTTCATGGCTCTTCCACACGGTCTACTGCCACTCAGAAGGGGTCTCCCGACTCTTCTCTAAGTAAGTATCTGTGAAGTCCACATTTTGATCAATGATTTAGAGTCAGTGGATTAGTGAAAAACATCTAGCAGGGCTGGCAGAATTCTTAATACCACCTCATAGAAACTTTCAAAAAATATTAAAGCAAGCACTTCAGTATGCCTCTTAACTGTCATGGGGGATTAATGTGAACATCATTGAGCAGTGATTTTTAACATTAAATGCATTTCTTTTCATATCCTAGACTGGACTACTCTGGTATTGCTCTTCTGATTATGGGAAGTTTTGTTCCTTGGCTTTATTATTCTTTCTACTGTAACCCACAACCTTGCTTCATCTACTTGATTATCATCTGTGTGCTGGGCATCGCAGCCATTATAGTGTCCCAGTGGGACATGTTTGCCACCCCCCAGTATCGAGGAGTACGAGCAGGTAAGAGCATGTGGAGGTTTTACATTAAACAGCCATTTACTGAAGGCTTACCATTGTCTAAGCATTGTGCTATGTACTTGTAATGCATACATCATAGTTCCTGTTTGAGGGGCTTTTAATGTAGTCTTTATTAGAACTGAGGAACAGTGGTTAGCTATGTGAGCTGATGTACTTGGGGCAGTGTAGTTTACTTGAGTTTATGGCCATACACTGTTGATAAGGGCTCTGTAACTTTTGTAAAATAAATGATTCCTCTTAATCTCAGCATGAAGTGTTTGTAGTTATAATTTTTGTTATTTTTATTTTAAAATGTGTAATCTGCTTACTGATTGTGTTCTATTACTGTAGGCATCATGCATCTCTTCTGATATAGGTATAAAGAGGCTTCTTATTTTTAGGGTAATGTCTGTTGAGCTGGAGATCATATGGAAAGCCAAAAGTCTTTGAGTACCCTTTGTTGAGCCGTCCTCAACCTAGGAAGTTACAGGTTAACAGAGGCAGGTTTTTATCTCCCACTGGACTGGAGACTCCTTATAGCCAAGGCTGTGTCTTGAATTTTCTTTTCTTAGTATCAAACCCAGTACCCACTGAGAATGAACAAGAAGCTTGGCTTAGTGGATAGAGAATTGGCCTGTGTAACCAAATGGTCCCAGGTTTGATTCTGGTCAAAGCATGTACCTTAGTTGCAGGCTCTTCCTGGTTGGGGAGCATGCAAGAGGCAACCAATCAATGTGTTTCTCTCACATGGATATTTCTCTGTGTCTTTCCCTTTCTCTTCCACTCTCTCTAAAAATCAGTGGAAAAATATGCTCAGGTGAGGATTAAAAAAAAAAAAAAGTATTTTTCCTTTCAACCCTTAAAATTTTTTTCGAAAGAAAACAACTGTTTGGTATTAACAATTAAGTCATGGTTTATCTGCAATTACCTAGAATAAGGGTGTCGAACTCAATCAGAGAAGGAGCCAAAATCTAAAATCCAGCCTAAATCGCGGGCCGAATGGTTTACTGAACAGTCATAAACTGTCATTGTGATGGAAACGCAGTGGAGTGCAGTGATGACAGCGCGGTGCGGGCCACATTGCAAGGCCTGGCGGGACGGATTTGGCCCTCGGGCCTTGTGTTTGACACATGTGACCTAGAAGGTTAGGAGTTAAAATTAACTTTGTTATAACACTCTACCCTATTTTTTCTTTAAGTGTTTATGTGAACAAATGAGCAGTGGTCAGGGTTGGCTTTCAGTAGTACTTGACTATGGTGTTAAGCTTGTTTGAGCACAAAAGATAAGAATGTCTTTGCTGAGTAAAGCTGGCCATCCTGCTTATTATGCACATCACAGGCACCAAATTCCTGAGCTTTGACTGAGACAATGACAGGCAAGACCATTGGCAGCCTTTGCTTAGCATGTAGAGGCACAGAATAAGTGAAAGAAGAAGGTCATGTTGATTTTATTTATTTATTTATTTATTTATTTATTTGTTTATTTATTGAGGAGTGGAGGTAAGAAGTAGTTTTTATTTAGGCCTACTTGATTTATTTCTTTTCTGAAATGAGCATTGTCATTTTCCTTTTCTCTATTAATGTCCATTTAATTGTGAATAGGCATTGTGCTGTTGTTGCATACCAGCAGCTCATATAGTAATGTCTGAAGCAAGTAGTATGCCCCTTTCTTTTGAGAAAGCTTACCAAATAATTGTTTTCTAAGGATCATTCTTAAGTCTTTGTGTCAAAAATGTAAAGCAATTACTACTTTTGTAGGGAATATTCGTGTAGTGCTTGGTTGATTTCACTGATTTCAAAGTGGTTTTACAACAGTTGCCTTCAAACTTTTTTGATCATAACATTTTTTCCTACAACCCTGAACACACACGCACACGCACACACACACACACGCACATGTACACACACATTGACAGAAACAGCAATTACAAAACTTTGATGGATTAGCGCTTAACTTTCCACTTGTGACACAGTCTGATATTTGTTATTTTAGCCTAGTTCTTTTAGAAATTCTGATCCAGACTCAATTGGTCATACCCAGAAGTTTGAAAAACACTGCTGTGGATGATTTTGAAGTCATTGGAGCTTGGTGGAGTGTTCTAATGCTTCTGTAGACTTCTGTACCTGATGGGCCTGAGAACTTTCAGAAGCATCTCTCTCTCTCTCTCTCTCTCTCTCTCTCTCTCTCTCTCTCTCTCTCTCTCTCTCTCTCTCTCTCTCTCTCTCTCCCCCCTCACCTCCACCTCTAATCTCTCATCTCCTCCCCTTTCCATCTCAGGAATATCTGTTGCTTTAAAGGGAAGATGAAATATGTAAAATTGCTTTATATTGCAACCTGTGTCTATAAAGAGGCAGAATTTAGGGAGTTTTAAGCCAACTTCTAGAGCTGTCTATTTCTAAAACACTTTGCAATGTGCTTTGAGGACTGCTGAGTCCTTAAGCTAAGCCTCTTTCACAGGAGGCTCCTTGCAATAGATCTGTATTTTAGAACATAGCTGTGCTGTCTCGTGTGGCAGTATCTGAGTTTGAAGTATCTTCTTTTTCTGTTCAAACAAGAAGCTAATGTTGCATTCTACTCTGAAGTTTTCAATTTATAATATTTTTTAAATTATTCCTATTTCTCTTTTGCATTTTTGCCTTTTTCTTGTGATTTCTAGGAGTGTTTTTGGGCCTTGGCTTGAGTGGAATCATTCCTGCCTTGCACTACATCATCTCGGAGGGGTTCCTGAAGGCTGCCACCATAGGGCAGATCGGCTGGTTGATGCTGATGGCCAGTCTCTATATCACCGGGGCTGCCCTGTATGCTGCCCGCATTCCTGAACGCTTCTTTCCTGGCAAGTGTGACATCTGGGTAAGTGTGATCAGAGGTGCCAGTGTGTATACATACTGATCTCCTAGTGGATCACTGGGAAGTGAAATAAATGAAAAAGTTTTAGACAAAAAAACTGACAGATCTGTATTTTAAGCCTAACTCCCCCTCATCCGTATGTTTCTCTGGATGATAAGTACAATAATAGCTGTATTTATTGAATACTTACTGGGTGCCTGGCACATGTCTGAGTGAGCACTTCACATGGATTACCTCATTTAACATATTAGTCCTAAAAGGTATAACAACTGTTACTAATGTTTTCATTTTGAAGATTAGGAAACGAGGTTTAGGAGATTGGTAACTTGTCCAGTGTGCCTGGCTATTCAGTGGTAGGGGTAGAATTGGAATCAGGCTAGTCTAAAAACAGAGTGTGAGCTGCTATATACTGCACTGCACTGGCAAGTCATTCAGTTTTTCTTTGTCTCAGCTTTCTCATTTATGAAAAAAGGGTGATGGACCAGATTTTTGCTTAGGTCATTTTGAACACCAAATTTAGTGATTTGTAATGAGAGATTGACTGTGTGTGTGTGTGTGTGTGTGTGTGTGTGTGTGTGTATTTAGTTGGAACAGGAGATAGAGATAACCAGATTGCAGTTAATGGAGGAAAGAGGAGAGGCAAATAAAATATGAGACCAATAGTTAGAAAATTTTAAAACGGAAGATGGCCTGAAATGTTTTCAACAGTACAGAAGTGGAGTGTTGTTTGATATGAAGTCTGACCTTTGGAATTCTTTTTCTTAACCTGTCAATTGTTATAGATAACTTGATCATCTAGTCTGTTTAAAGTTTAGTTTAGCTATCTGTAAAATGAAGATAATGATAATTTAGGCAATCTTTTGAAACATCTCTATAGATGTAACTTAAAAAATATATAATATACACTAAAATCAGTGTCTTTTCCTTGTTTTTGCTGCTGTACTTTTTCTTTTTCTGCTGTACTTTTAGTTTTGAGACTATAATGAGAGAACAGTGTAATTTTGAAGTAATTTTTGGTGCACTGAGCACTTGATAATCCGTTTTGAGCATTCAAAAGAACAGGTTAAATCAGAAATAATATTACATGTTTGTAGACCAGCTTCTGACTTGAGAAGAGGATAAAAAGTCCTGTTTTGCCGAAACCGATTTGGCTCAGTGGATAGAGCGTCAGCTTGGGGACTGAAAGGTCCCAGGTTCGATTCTGGTCAAGGGCATGTACCTTGGTTGTGGGCACATCCCCGGTAAGGGGTGTGCAGGAGGCAGCTGGTTGATGTTTCTCTCTCATCGATGTTTCTATCTCTCTATCTCACACCTTTCCTCTCTGTAAAAAATCAATAAAATATACTTAAAAAAAAAAAAAAAAAAAAGCCCTGTTTTCCTAGTCTTTTGATATAGTATGTTGTTCTTGTAATTCCAGAATCTTCGAGCTGGAAAACATTAGGCACCATATATTTTGACCTTGTACCCAATCCTGGAAATCCCTTAGTTTTTCCAACAGAGAACGTTTTTCTAACATTTGAATATGACCAGAGCTCAAGTGCATTATTCCATGATAAAAATATTCATTAGCAACGAGGAAAATGCTTACTGCTAAGTATTAGGGGGTTCTTGGGACCTTTGTGCTCTGTCTTTCTCCATAATTTGCCCCTGAGTTCACTAATTTCATGTCCAAAACTTAGTGGCAGCACCTTGATTTCTGTGGGGAGGCTGGCCTTTTTTTAGCAGAATATGATATGCCTAATGTTTATCCCAAGATCTCGAATTTGAGCTCTGTTGCATCCATTCCTTGCCCTCTGCTCAGCATAAGTGATCTTAAGACTTATTAGCAGACTTTTAATAATGCACCCCCCCTCCCTTTTTTTGTTTGCTTCCAGTTTCACTCTCATCAGCTCTTCCACATCTTTGTGGTTGCTGGCGCTTTTGTTCACTTCCATGGGGTCTCAAACCTCCAGGAGTTCCGCTTCATGATCGGCGGAGGCTGCAGTGAAGAGGATGCACTGTGACACCTGCAGTAACCAGGGCTGTGGCCCTGACCAGGGCCTGCTGCACCTGCAGGCTTTTCCCTTCCTGGCCATTGATGCCAGTACCAGAGGAGCCCCAAAACTTCGACAGCCTCGTGCGCTTGGTGACACACCAGAGGCTCCATGTGGCACATGACTGAGAAGAGAAAAACAAAAATAAATCATACCTCAAAGGATGGAGTGCATCAATTTGGGGAAAAGGAGAAATGGCCCAAACCCCGGGGTATTCTTGGGCTGTACTGATTGAGGGCTCTGCAAGACCCTTGGCAAACTGGCTTCTGATCCATATCATATTTATTTGATGGGGAAACAGTTTAGCTGGTAGTTCATTCTTCTCTCCCTTTCTCTCTCCTTAAAACAATAATTCAAACCAATTTAGGTGAACATTTATATCCTATCAAGGGGTGGGAATGTGATTTTAGATGCTCTTTTGGGAGAACAAACAAGTTAATGTAAATAAGATTTCTAACTTACTGTTTAAATAAGAATTTATATAAATGTTTAAAACATAGGGGTAGGAGAGGGAGGGAGAATTTTTATATAGAATGAAACATGCAAGAACCACACACTGTTTCAATTTTGCACAAAGTGACCATGGGAGGAACAGGCGATGGCCCAGAAAGTACAATGCCTTGGTGCACCACGCTGCCTTCTGCAGGCTGTCATACCCCGGGCCCCGGAGGGGCAGAGAGCACAGCCCCTGCCCAGTGGTCACATCGCCACTCTCATGCCTGAGAGCCTGGGGGATCCTGAGGGAGAGGGAGGTTGGTATGTGTTTTCTAAGGAAGCAGCAAGTGAATGGCTGACAGGATGTTAGTTAAAAGCTCTAGTTCAGGTGACCTTGGAGAGACCCACTTCTTTTTTATGCCAATGATCCCCTAAGGAGCAGAGCCACCTGCTGCAGAATGTCAGTTATGCTTGCAGGAGGGTAGAGGAGACTAAGCTCTGGAAATGTTAGCACAGTGCTGGTCTGGGTGCTTCCTGGCATCCTGTTCTTTTTGGGATGATTTTCATCTGATTGCAGGGATGTGACAGTTTTCCATATCCTTATTGTGGAGCTTTTGGAGTATCCTGGAAATGTCCCTCTATTAAAATCGCTGCCCTAACTACCCTTCCTCCTCTTGGAAATAAAAATTGACCTTTTCCCAGCATCATCATTCTTGGCATGGAGCCAACCCAAAGAGTCTGCCTTGTCCAGGTCCCTCTCGAGCTCCTTCACCACGGTTGGGAGACTGCTTCCTTTGGGTGAGGAAAGACGGGTGTCACCTAGCACACTGCCTTGGTGAACCTTGGTGTGGCAGTCAAATCTGTTCTCCGTGAACAAAAAAAGCCACTAAAACTCTTGGAAAGCAGGGCCTAATACCCACCAAGGAGCAGCAGCAGTATCTGAATCCCAATTTTAAG